TTGCAAAGAGCACCGCAGCTGTCCGGTAGGCAGAAAGCTCGGTCTGCCCTTATCCAAGACACTAAGAGAATCCCATTGTCAAATAAGACAATAAAAATATTGCACGGTGACTTCGACGCATTATGAGGGTTAAATGACAGGACCAAGTAACGAACATATCCTATTCCAGACGCGGGTGTGCGCCGTAGATTAAAAAGATTAATTATTGGGCGAGAAGATTAAGAAAATGAGGTTGGCTCTGCTAGACAAACTGGTTGAGCATAGACCGTTTGCTTCAATGCGTGAAATTTCCGTGTGGGAACTGGCAACACGTTTGATACTCATATCTCTCCGTCAGTGCAGGCCGTACGGCAGTCGTCTTCGCCATACGATTCCACCGGCGACAGCAATTTTACTCTCAGACAAATTTCCTGATCTATTTTTGCTGGAGACACTTTGCTTTATTCCTTGAATAGTCTCGTCTTACAGATCCATGATGGTCCACGATCTTATGTGATCAGTCCAATATATTTAAGCTCATTCTCTCTCTCACAGCGACTCTCTAAGTCTTGAACTAAGACGAGCAAAGCAACCATCGATACGTGAAACCTAGCAGTGAACGGTTTAGGCCAGCTTGTCCTGGTTACCTTTCAGCGCTAAAATTTAATCAATATAATATATTGCTTGAGTAGATTAGGTGTTTTGCATAGTTTGCTCAGAGAATAACCTATGTTATTTAGCTAAAACGTTGATAATTTCTATTAAGAATTTGCCATCGGTTTTCTTGATTGCGTCCAGAACTATTAAATTGATAATATATTAATATTGGGGGTATCCCCTCAGCGACAAGTCTCTTCTTTTTCAATTTCAGACATCCTAATTGTATATTTAAGATGAAAACTGCAGTAGTCTGACATAAAACAGCCTTGAATATATAATTTTCATGATCACTTGATAAGAATTCTGTGATCACTGTTACATAATTAACAATGGGAAAAAATTTTTCAAAATTGGAACACGGAAATGATACGACTGGTCATCTTAAGTGGTGATTCCGATTTTCCTGCCGAAAACCTGCTGCAAATGGATCATGAGATTGTCTCTAATTTCGATAGCTGATTATCCATGTACGGTTTTCTTCATGACTTGCAATCATATTTTACTGTGTCTGTCTAGGTGCTGCCATGTCCTTACGTTGCTATACTGGTTAGGGAAAGCAGCCTTCAACTTTGCTCACTCGTCAACTACAATGTTCGCCTGCCTCCAAATTGCCGTATTAAAGGCGTCCTGTTGAAGGACGGCACACAACATGAAGAAAGAGCGGATTTGATCGAGATCAATTAATCCGAATGGCTTGCGCGCTAACTACCGTCCAATGGCGCAGACAAACTTAGCCAGTAGAGTAATTCGGCTCAGCAGCAGTCCCTGACAGTACGCAGTCGGCGCGGGCAAAATTTCGATAATCAGCTACAAACCTATGCTCTGTGCTAGATTCAGTAACAATGGTCGACGACCTGAGTTGGCTGTCTTGTTAAATTGGCCGTTCAGTCACAATAATCAGCATTATAACCA